AAGGCAAATAATCAACAAGTCGATTTTGTCCTTATTAATGCACCACAGCTATTGGCTTGACTTGTAATGGGGGTTTTTTATGCTCTCTGAGGTAGTCAAGTTAGCATGAGGGTGGTGAGAGTTCACATTTTGTTGAAATTAATCATTAAACTATCGTACATTACAGGCCATAAGTCATGACAAATATTTTGAGGTAATGTCAATAATAACAATAAATGAAGATATTGAAGGAAAGTGAAAGTTGGAAGAATAATATGATGATGTCAGGGTGAAAGCAGCAACAACAACAAAAAAAGGGAAAAAAAACTGACACAGACGACAGTGCAGTAATCCAGTTTATTTATTTATTTATTTATTTATTTTCATTTTAATACATTGTACATTGTGTCCTATGTTTACAGGGTTCTTTCCCTTACAATTTAGACTTTTCTTCTCAGAATTGCAAGAAAAATATTTTTTTTTAAAATGTACTCAGAATTCTGTCTTACTTACTCGCAATTCCAATTGTTATTGTTATTATTGCATAGGCCTACTGGATAATAATGTACTACAATACTGAGGTGCAGATAATTGCCACTATCTGCAACAAGTAGATCTATCTATCTATCTATCTATCATCTATCTATCTATCTATCCATCCATCCATCCATCCATCCATGTTATATATTAATGGATCATTATATGTTAAAGGGGTCATATGATGCTTTTTTAAAGATCATTATTTTGTGTATTTGGTGTAACAGAATATGTTGACATGCTTTAATGTTCAAAAAACACATAATTTTTCAAATACTGTATATTATTGTAGGTCCTCTATGCCCCGCCTCTCTCAAACGCTTCGTTTTCTACAAAGTCCCTCCTTCCGACAAGCACAGTCTGCTCTGATTGGCCAGCTGACCCAGTGCATTGTGATTGGACGAACACCGCAAGCACTCGTCGGAAATGTAACGCCCCTTACCATAATCGCGAGCTTCATCTTTCAAAATAAATATAAAGACAG